AAGGATCACAGGAAATGTTCGTACAGTCTGTATGAAAATCTCATCAATATATCACTTAAAACATGGTAGACAGCACTGAACCTGTCAGCACGAGAGGTGAGCTGAGAAATGATGAATTCATCCAAGACCCCAGATAAAACAACAGGGTCTGAAACTCCAAACTCCAAGTCCAAACTCATCCCACTGAACTTTGTGGCCTCCAGAACAGGCTGGTTTCACATCCCAGGAACCACAACATGACTAAAACCTCTGCCTAGCCCTGGGAGGGGACCATTTACAGTTACAGCTTTTAGTGGCTACATTTCACAGGCTGTTTTAGAATGGCACAAATTTCCTTCTGAAGAAAACCTGACACAAAGCAAGTAAAGACTGGGATGTGCTCTAAGCTACCACTTTGAGAGCAATCAAGCTACAGGTCCCCGTTTGACCAAAAAGGGCACTCCTGCAGATATGGCTGCACACATACCCTGGAGCTCTGGCCAACACTTGATTGTTTGCCAACTGGTGAGTTACATTTTCATTTTTCAGAGTAATAGCAAACTACTGTGATGACTAATCTTGATTGTGAATTTGAACTCAGAGACAGATACGGGCTAAGTAAAGCACACTTAGGGTAGATGCCTGTGAGGGTGTCTCCACAGACAATGCACACGGGGGCACTGACACAGGACGATGTACCCTGAATGCAGTTAGGCATCTAAATAAATAGGGCCCAGGTGGACCACAAGGGGATGGGGGGGGAGGGGACTGGCACAGGTGAACTCTGACTCTGCACTTCCTGCCTCCTCACACCCAGCACTATAATCAGGCAGCCATGGTTTGAATGCTCAGAGCCTGGGAACCAAAATAACTCTTTTTTTCCTTTCGAAGTATTTCTGTCAGAGCAGCACAAAAGCCTAGCACAGCTACTAACCACTCCAGCTATTCAGCCACAGAAATGAAGCCTCTTTGGGGAAATCAAGGTCAGTGTGTTGGCTGAAATACTTTCTAAACAGTGCTTATGACAGGTACATATTTAAGGACAGAGGCCAAGGAGATGCGGCCATTCTACTACTCCTTGCTGCTTCTGTCTGTGGCAGAGAGGGACAGTAAGAGGACATATGAGAGTCTAAAGGACCTCAAAGTCAGAGACCTAAAGAGGCATTGTGGGTGCCATCACGACAAAGAGTCAGCTGAAGTAGTTTTTCCAAATACAGAGTCTTTGATACCTCTGCTTAAAGATATATATATATATATATACACATACATATATATATATATGTATATATCAACATTTCAGTTTTATAGGTGACTTTGGAGAAGTTCGTTTATCTCTATATTCTACAATTTGATAATGTAATAAGCCCAAATTATATTTTCAAATGCTCTGTGACCATATCCATCTAATAATGCCCATCATTTAAACAGACTCAAAAGTAACAAGAGAGCACTAATAATAACCATTTCTCTAAAACTTGTTTCAGTTCTGTAGGACAAGTTCACAGCCGATGTCTTTCATTCGTGTGTTTACAGAGAGGCTATATATCAAGGACTATAAAGGAGCCTGATGTGGGCAGACATCTCAGAAAGTTAAACCATCTGGGTCGGAATGTGTTCCTGAAGCTTAGCTGCATACAGAGGGAGAAATGGGGAGTAACAGATACTTTTTAAAAAAATGATAATAAATCCAATTATGTAGTTTAAAGAAAATTAAATTCTCCTCAAAGCCAACTGCCATCTTTCTTGTCCCTGACTGACAGAAAATAACAAGAGACAAGATAAGCAATAAAGGAAAAAGTATCAGGTCCCAGTCAGGGTCAGGAGCTGTTTCTGAGATGTGCTTAAATGAGGGACAGATTGGAGCCTTCACCCTAGGATAACCTGAAGGCGCTGAGACCACACTAACACAGCGGGTGGTAAAGCAGAGTCAACTCTCAGCTTTGGAAGATGAAGACTGCCAAGTGATGGCTTTAACACCAAAGAAATCAGCAAGTAGATCACAAACTGCCTTCATTTCCCAATGTCCAACTTGTTGCTTCATGTCCCTTGCACCACCCCTACTGTCCTTTCCTCTCTCCTCCACTCCCACTGCTAGGAAAAGCAAAGGCAGGAAAGCAACCAGCCCCTGACCACCTGACTATGAACCCAGAGTCAGAGAAAGAAACATACTCTGTATTTGAGACCTGGGCCAGGGAAAGACACATCCTTATCCCTGAACTCAGAACTAAAGACATGTGTCCTGGCTCTGAAACTAGTGTCAAAGAAACACACTTTGTCCCTAGAATTAGAGTCAATGAAAGAAATACGCCTTGGTCCTGAGATTAGAGTCAAAAAGCTAAAAAGGACCAATGAAAGAAATGCAGTTTGGCCATTAAGTCAGAGCCATTTCTACCCCCACCAGCTAAACTGACCAATCCCTGAGCAGGGAAACACTACCCAATCTCCCACTCCCCTACCCCACCACTACCACCACTACCCCACCCCACCCCCATCCCTACCCATTCTCCTTAGGAAAACTCTGCCCCTAAGAAGCCCTATATAAACCTCTCCACACCTTCAGTTAAGAGTGGCCTTAAGTGGCTGAGGCAGCCACTCTCCTGGACTCCTCCTTCCCAAAAAAAATCTCTTCTCAAAAGAGTCTTGGGTGACAACCTTCATTCACCAGCAGAAGAACCTGGCTGGAACATCCCTTAGGGAACTGAGCTGAAAACCCTTGCTGAGAAGCTCCCTAGGAGACCTCAGCAAGGCAGAGCAGAACAGAAGAACCTTGCTAGGAAGCTCTTTAAGGGGGCTGAGCAAGGCTAGAGGAGGAAAAGTAAAAACTTTAGCTGGAGTCCAAGGAGATTGCTACATTTCTGAAGGGGGGGGGGCTTCCCTTATCAGAGTGTTAGCAAAAGAAACATCTTGGACCAGAAAAGAAGCAGATAGCTCTGCCAGGACGCTCCAGTAAGGGAACAGAGCAGAACTCAGCTGTAGCTGCTCTCCAGGAGAGGAGCAGGATCTCTGTATCTTTCGTGGAGATCATCCCCTACCACACCCCAGCTTCAGGTGTCCTGACTAAGGAAAATTGATACCAGAAAGAACTGGAGTAAAGAATCTCTTGAACTAAAATTCACATATTTAATATAGCAAACAGAAACAAGGCACTAAAGATAAACTTACCAGAGAAAAATATAAAATGTTAGAGATAAAAGGTTTTTTCTATATCTTCATAAACAAAATTTTAAAATACCTTTTGCAAAGCCTTTGTACATGTACTGTTAGAAAATTAATAATTCCTGAAGTCTAACAAAAACATTATCTGAAATTGTCAACTTATTTCTTTTTTTAAAGGCGACTAAACGTCTGTCTGATATACCTATCATATGATTATCTATGTACACATGAGTGAGGGTGCCCTCAGGGAATGAAGGTTCAGATACCCTGGAGCAGGAACCATAGAACTTTGTGAACCACTCCCCATGGGTTCGTGAAGAAAAATTGAGACCTCTACAAAAGCAGTCTGTACTATTAACTGCCGGGTCATGTCAAAGCCCTGCTTTGATAGTTTTAAATTAACATTAACATAAAAACAACTGTATATATTCAAATGGTGACCTAGAAACCATATCATGAAGCATGCTCCAAAGAGGGCCCCCCTCCTATATTAAATCACAAATACGAAAGGTCTAGCACAGTTCTTAATTTGCAACAACACACTGAAATCTTCGTAAACTTTGATAAAGAGAACGATTATAGGCATAACCATTTAAGCATATTTTAAGCAAGTTTTTTAAAAAAAAAAAAAAAGCAATTTGCTCCACCAGCAATAAGGATTAAAAAAATAAAACCTAAGCAAAGATCTTACAATTTGATACTATGGAATGACACTCATGGGGCCGATTTCATGTGGGAGAAACGATAAGATGGCCAGTAACTGGGCAAAGTGATGACTAGTCACAGCTCCCAAAGTCCCACTGAGATTTGAGATAATATCAACTGACTTAGCATCAAAAATGTACTTGCTTACTGACTTCCTAGGGTCATTTCTATATTCTCTGATATAAGGGATAAGACCATGACAGTTACAGCAAGTATTCATTGAACTTTGGGATTCATTACAGTCTCACTGCAGAAGAACTAAGTCCATGATCACATATGAGAGAAAATTTAACATAATGCTATTTTTATAAGCAAAATAAAATTGCAATACAAGTTATTTAACAATTTTACAATGATTAATATAAGGCAAAATTGGAATGACTTTAAAATAAAACATCCAGGGACTGGAGAGATGGCTCAGTGGGTAAGGGCACTCACTGTAATTCAGAAGGTCTGGAGTTCAATTCCCAGCACCCACATGGCAGCTCACAACTGCCTGCTGCCATCTTCTGGTGTGCAGATGTATATGCAGACAAAATACCCACATACATAAAGTACATAAGTAAAGAATCACATTTTAAAATACATAGTTCGGATAGCTAATAGTCAAATATGGTTAGTATTTGGAGCAACCTCTACTAGATCACATACAAGCAATCACAAATGCCAAGTACCCAGCCACTCCGGAGACTATTTCATCTCTTTTACTCTGATTTAGTTTGAGGAAGAATGGTAACTGGTTGAGGCTGGCTCTCACTCATACTGCCCTAGAGCTCACTACATGGGGCAGGCTGGTTTTAAACTCCAGACCCTACTGTCTCAGCCTGGGATTGCTGGCATGAGCCATGAGATTGTTTTATTTTATTCAAGATTTCTAAAAGATTTTTAACACGGGAAATAAAATCCATGTTTATTGCTCATCCCATAGCCCCAAATGGGAAAAATAGTAGCAAAGATATAAAATCCGGCCTCAAACACACATGTAATTGAAGCCAAGACACTTCAAGACATAGAAGTGACCATGTTCAACAGTTTTACCACTTTCTGTGATTTTCCTCCCCCAAGAAAACATCCAGCTGCCTCTTGGTGTCACATGTCCATGGACATACCAGCTGATCTCATCGAGTTCATCATGTCAAGAACAACTCAGAGATACTCACCCCGTGTTGATTGAAATGATTTCTATCAGTGGATTCTTCCTGATTTTTGGCAAATCCAGTCTTGCTCCCCCCAACCGCTTCCCATTGTCTTTCTTCTGGCCCAGGAGCCTCACTGAGTGACCTTCAAATCAAGCACAAGACACACATCAGCATGCCACACAAATCCACCAGCATTTACCATTTTCGATAAATATGTTCAGGATTGTATTTGATTTTTTTTTTTTCTTACAAGAGACCAGGGAGAAAATTCATCCTAAAGAAGATGTGATCTTTTGAACATAAGAATACAGTAAGAAAGGGAGAGAAAGAAAATGGTGTGGGAAGTTCTGTCTATGTGTTGCTTTTATTGGTCAATGAATAAAGAAGTTGTTTTGGCCTGTGACAGGGCAGAATAAACATAGAAGGGGGGGTGGTCGAAGAAAGAAGGCGGAGTCAGGAGAAGCCATTTAGCCCTGAAGGAGGCAGACCTTGCCTGTAAGCCGCAGCCACACCCACACGGCAATACACAAGATTAATGGAGATGGATTTCAGAGTGATGTTTCATGGTCTGGGCAGCAGGGGAAGAACAAGCAGCCTCCAACCACACAGAGAGGGCAGGGGGGAAACTCCTGGGTTCAAGAACTGACTAGATTTGCCAACGCTTTGCTCACAGTATGTGCACAATTACACATCACATTTAAGAAAGGTCCAGTGTCCTTAAAACAACCTCATAAGGTTGAACACTCCCTACACTGACTCACACTGTAATACAACAGAAAGGCCTGCCTGCTCCTTAATGACAATAACAACACATATAGAAGGTAACTAATGTTTGATGAAACAGCACTCAACATTCACCCATACTAGTGTTTTCTAGCCACCTGCTCCTACCTTCCTCTTTATTTCCCAGCCTCACTCTCACTTTCATGATACATATACACATTTGTGTATATATATATATATATATATTCATATTTACATACTCGTATATATGTAGCATAATCATAAAACATAGGAGTAGATACTTTAAACAAAATTTTTGAAGGTTACTTATACAAAATGCAACCAGATTATAATATCCACTAAAAATTTGGAGCACTGAAAAGTTTGAAATAATTTCAGACATGTAGAAAACACGAACAACAAACATGCATCTCCACTCAGATTACAGTCATAGTTTTAGCACATAGTATTTTCTCTCTGTACTCGGACATGCTGTGTTTATGACTACACCATATGAGTTACCCTATAAAATCATCCATTGTGGCTGAGCACAGCAATAATTTCAAATACATTTCTACTGTAATGTACTGTTTTTATAATTTTATCAGTGACTATACTACAGCTTACAAAACTTTTCCAAGGTGAAAACAAAACTGAATGATTTTAAATAAATATCTAGAATTATGTAACCATGGCAGTAGGTCAGTTTGGAAACATCTCTATCAACAATAGAAAATCCTTTGAAGCTTAGATTCTCCCGTCTCTGCTCCCCATCACAGCAGCATATGTCATTAGTTCATCGGTCAGAAGATGGACATAAACCTCATTCAAACACATATGTAATAACACTTCCAAGAACATCTACACATAAACCATTGAACACCAATGTTTTCACTTCTCCAAGAGTCCTAATATAAAAATTGCTGAATCATTTAGTGAATTTATATTTTACTATTTTAGAAATAATTGCTTTCCTAAGAGATGACCATTTTATATTCCCAATTTCATCAGACACAAGATTACTTAATATTTTCCCTGATTTTGTGCATTATATTTAACTTTTATATAAACTTAAAATTATTAACTATTGCCTTCATGGCTCATGTTTTTTGGTGTTATTCCTAAAATCTAACTACCTTTCTTTGGGATAAAAAGGTATTCTTCGCTTTTAGTTTCTATTGTGTTGTTAACTCTTAAAATTCGATCAAGGGTGTATGTACTCTGCTACTTTTTCTATAGTGAGGTGAACATATTCACCTTTCCACATCAATACAAGTGATCTCAGGGCCATTACCTTGCCATATTCATCCACATGCCATTGTTGTCACACATGTTAACATAAACAGTTATGAAAACTCAAAAGGGCAGTGCTAAAAATATTATTTTAAATAAAGATACATATTTATAACATAGTTTATATTTACTTACCAAAACATTATTTCTAATACTTTCTACTACTCCTAGGAATTCAACTCATCATGTGATTCTAATTCTTCTTGACCAGTCCTCTTTAGTGTTTTTATACAGTAACTCATTTAGCAATAAAGCAACATTACTTGCTTATCTGAAAACATTTTTATTTTTTACTTCATTTGTAGAGAATAGTTGTGTTGGATATAAAACTGCTGCTGTCTCTGCATGCTGGATATCAGTTGTCAGTGGTATTTACTGTTTATGATTAGATGCCAACTATTAAATTTACTACTCCTAAGATCATAGTAAGTCACTTCTTCTCTTATACTGCCCAGATCTCACTTTATTGGTGTCCAGGTGTAGATTTATATAACAGCTTACATAAGACTGGCTACATTCTTTGAACTCATAAAGTAATGTTCATCTAGGATGATTTTATTTTTTTCTTTTTCAAACATTTTCCGTGTCATTTTTTTTCTATCCATTCTTCTGCAGTTCCCACAACACATTTGTTAATGTATGACTGACGTATTCAACAGGTCCTTAAAGCAGGGTTCTACCAAGACACAGAACTCATGCATATGGGAGCAAAATATGATATTTTTTTTTAAATATTTATTTATTTATTATGTATACAATGTTCTGTCTGCAGGCCAGAAGAGGGCACCAGACCTCATTTAAGATGGTTGTGAGCCACCATGTGGTTGCTGGGAATTGAACTCAGGACCTTTGGAAGAGCAGGCAATGCTCTTAACCGCTGAGCCATCTCTCCAGCCCAAAATATGATATATTAAGGAAACAATATTATCTTATTACAGAGACTGAACAACCCCATGGGCATCCAATTATTGCGAGAGATTTCTTCACATTGACAATTTGTGACTGGCAATAAAGTTAAACCTTGAGTCAGAGAACAGAATCAGCATTTAGCTCATCAGAATTAGCCATAGAGATGTTGAAGAATCCAGGGTGCAGGACAGAGAGATGCACAGGAAGTAGTAGGGAAGGATTTAGAAATTTGCAGGCTTTTCAATCTGGGAAATGTGGAGAGTAGGGTCAGCCGGTCATTCCTCTGTCACTCTTTGGATTCATAAGGTTTTATCCCAATTTCTGACTCCCAACTTTTTATTAATAATAGAATAATTTAGATGAAGGCATCAGCTAATAGCATAGCTCAGTCCACATCAAAAGGTGTTCTGACCAAGAAAATTGACGGTGTAATTATCAGGCTAAAGTCAAATGCCAAGAGCCCAGTAGGCAGATAATAGGAGTGCCAGAGCTCAAAGGCCAACCAACTTGGACTTGCAATGTCCAAGAACTGAAGATAAAGAAGTCTCAGATCTTAGAAAGAGACAGTGAGACAGTGGCATCCTCTAATTTCCTTGTTTAATCTGGGTCCCCAGATGAAGGAGGGCCTGAATTAAAGAGAGGGGCCACCCATTTGAAGTAAACGATACCACTCAGACCTCAAGTCATGAGGCAGTCCCTTCTGAAAGCATCCTCACAAATAACATGATCATTCTAACCATTTCAATCAAAAGCAAAATCGCATAGGCTTCGCTTCCAGCAGAAGAGGGATGGGCTCGAGGCCCCCAACACAGAGAATAAACAGTGATTTACCAACCGAGTGCCCTTTGCTCTGTCAACAGCCCTGGATCAACATTCAGAGTGGTGTCCACTTCACCCTGTTCTTCAGAAGGGCTTCCTCCTCTAAACCCATCTTCACATGCACTGACACTCTCCCTCCTGCCGTGGGAAATCTGGAATTGGGCTATTCCGATGAACACATCACTCAGAAAACGCTCATTGCATTTGCAGACAATACCTTTCTTTGTTTTAAATATTTTACTCTCTAAAACGTGTTCAAGTCATTGGTTTTTTTTTATTTTTCTTAACATGGCTTCACTTGGTTCTGTGAAGTCCTTGACTTCTAGATTCTACATTTTTTCATCAAAAATTAAGGACAATTAGTACTAACAACCTTTGGGGTAAGTTGGGTTATGCCTGGTCTCTTGGAACCTATAAGATAATGTGCATTCCACAAAATACTACTTTCATATACTGACTTTTCAAACTAACCCTCTCTACAATTAATAGCTCTTAATATCCCGACTGCAGCTGCTTCATCTGCTTCCGCTTCTTTTCCTGCTCTTTTTTTGAGGGATACCTGTTTTTTTCTTCCAATCACAGCATTCTATGGATCAACTTGGAAGAGGTACAATTTCCTGGTAGTCAAATACTTATTACACATTTGCTCAAACATCATAAGCAAATAAGAGTTGTACTATCTCTACTGTAGGTCAACGTATGGATCAATGAGAGAAGAGTTTGAGCCATTTTCAAGTGAGCCTTATATTTACTTTAACCTGGGCTCCCACAGATCCTCTCTGGCCTTTTCTTAATGTGCATACAGGTAGATAAAAATGGTTAGGTTAGGCCCACTCCATCTCTTCAGTGTGTATGCACAGCCTCTAGTCAACACAAAGCATTTTGGGAGTTTCTCTATATTTCCAACGCTATCTCAGAGACTGGAATCCTCTGTAAATTCTAGGGCTACTACACCTGATGATGGGCCTTAAAAGCATTACACTGTCCAGGAGCTTCAGTGCAACAGAGTCACTGGTCATCAGATCTGCACTGTAACTAACAGTTACCACCTGAACTGTCTCTGTAATGGCAACAGAGGCACCAGGTTACATGGTATACCTATTCCTAGTAGAGCATTCCTGTCCATGGCATCAAGAAGGGAAATGGGAACAGCCCACGCACAAATACCACATACAACTATACTTAGCCAAGCCTCAGGAAGATTCATAAATGATAACTTTTCAACTTATGGCTAAATGCTTTTGGTGGTGAGTTTCCACAGTAAGGCAGACTTGCTGTGGGCATTTGTCTAACTTTATCATTGCTTTGTGGGAATGTTCTGTGGATCAAGACATAATCATTCTAAAGGTAAATCAAGGAATCACTTAAATACAATTGCATAAGCAATGTTATATATCT